TATTTATTTTTAAATGTATGATTTATTACAAGGCACACACAAACTAAATGACACTACAAATTCTTACTGTGGCGGGGTGTTGGAATTTGACTGCGATCAGCCAGTGACAAATCCATATTTGTTGATCAATAATCTGAATATTGGAAGGACGCATCACCCCATGATTGTTCCCCAGTTATGGCCTTGAAACTTTGGGTCTGAGGTGATTTTCGGAATTCAGGGAGAAGTTAGGAATGAACTTTTAGAAGATTCTGAATGAAATTCTAAAAATGTATAAAAATAATAGATGTACTAACTTTGTTTCATGAAAGCAAACACAATTTTATATTTATAATTAATTTCTTTCTTTTTTTATATATTTTAAAGTATGCATGAACATGCCTAAAACTCACTGTAGCTTTATAAACCTCATTATATTGCCTCATTTAAATAATTGTAAAGCTAAGAAAATGTATTTTTAATTTTGACGTTTAATAGTTTTTCCAGAGCCCTACACAGTAGTTTAACAATCATTAAATCTACATCCCTGACCTACCCCAAAGTCATTATGCCCGGCCTGTGGGCGGCGAGGAGCGCATGATGTCATCAGGCACCCCTCCTTCATGCACATATGTATCGGAGCTTTATGAGTTGTGGGGACTGGCACAAACTGCCTCTATGAGCCTCACAGGCAGACTGAACTCCAGTCAGCACACAATGAAGCTCTATTCAAGGATGCAGCGCTGCCCCTTTAAGAACACCCACTACTGAGGGCTCCGGGCTGCACTGGGTCACGAGGGTGAACGGATAAATAAGGAAACGCCAGAAATAAAGAATACCTAATACACAAAAAACATTCACTGTAACACAATACAGCATATGCACAAAACATGGCAAATATGCAGCCTACTTAGTTATAGTGCATATATTACAAGAAATATTCAACACCCATACACTGATCATTTGGCAAAGAGTCAAGACGCACTTAGCAATGGCAAGGCGCCCACTGCTTGATACTAGAGCAAACATTTTTGCATGTGTTTACATTTGTTTTTGTTCAAATCGACAAAGCATAATAGAGCTATACACTCTAAAAAAAATGGTGCTATATAGCACTAAAAGCGGTTCTTTGGCTCGTAATCATAGGGGAACCACTTTTAGTGCTATTTAGCACCTATTTTTACAGGTGCTATATAGCACCTTTGTCAAATGGTGCCATGTAGAACCATAAGAGGTGCCATATAGCACTTTTTCTCAACAATGGTGCACCAATCATAACTCATCCATGGCTCCCAGCATGCATTGCTACATGAATAAATTATGCAGCTGCATTATCTTAGTATTTTCTTTTAATCTTACTATTTTCTTTTATTTTTGTTGTGACTTTTTTTTTTGTTTACTGCCCTGTTTTGTAATGTTCAAAAATCATATAAAAATTATCAAAATATTTTGTCACCATTGCTGAGATTCACATGCTGATTCTTTATGTCTATGAGGAACAGAACTGAAACCTCTTTATAACCCATAATTCTAGAGGTGGTTTATACAATTTTCTCACATTGTCACGTTGTATCGTAGAGCTGCAATAATACAAAACTCATAAAAGAATAAAGATTTTGATAATATGCAACCAGAGACTCAGACGCATGAAATTATTTTACCATAAGTTCCTTGCCATCACATATGTGCTTTATAAACACTATTGCAACAGCCAAAGAGAAACTTATTTTAACTTAAAGTTAAAGTCAAGGGTCAAGAGGCAACTAAAGCAAACGCTATTCA